GCTTCCTCTTCACTCTTCAGTGAGACTCCTCCCATTTGCTTGGCCATAGCTTCTTGACCTGCAAGCAAATTTTCAAACTCAACAAGCGATGGTTGTGTCGGCCATCCTTGTATAGCGGCAATGAACCCTCGATATTCGGGTCTCAAACCATGGATAATTATTCTCTTCATCCTGGTTTCCCTAATAGGAGCTGTTGGATCTAATTCTGAAATTTCGCGGCATATCGACTTCACCTTGTGAAAGTACTGGGCAATCGTCATGTCGCGTTGTACCATCGATAGCAGCTCATTCTCGAGAAGTTGTGCTCCAACATTTCTTCTTCTATTGTGGTCTTTAAGGCAAACATTGATTTGCCTGCTTTAATTTTCCACTTCCGTAAGACGTCGTTAGTATCTTCCGCTGCCGGTTGTGTAACTTCACTACCACCGACAACCTCCCACAAGTCTTGACCTTGAAGGTAAGACTCTATACACGTTGCCCACGTGTTATAGTTTTGGTTGTTGAGCTTCTTGATTCCTCCAACAACTTGAAGATCACCCATCGTATCGGCAAGACTTTGACTACACCGAACAAGCTTGAGTGACTATCGTGCAGAGTAATACACTACTCTCGACACAAAGAAGCTCCCTCTCAAGGTTTGTGATAACCCCAGCAATAATCTCAAGAAATCTTTTCTGATGTGGAAGATTAGTCAAAACTGCAACCACAGAGCATACTCGGAATTTCAAGAGACTTTACAACCAATGCTCTACCAAGAACGATCCCTGACTGACTTGGCTCTGATACCAATTGTTGAATAAGAAGAGTATCCAAGATAACTCTAATGATCCCAAGAAGAAGAAAATAGAGCACACTCTTAAAGAAAGCTCACAAAACAAACTAATTAGCAAATCTTTTCTTATTTAGCTCTAGGCTTTGTTTTTCCTTGGATGATAACAATGCTTGGGGACTTGGGTATTTATAGCAAATCAAATGAAAGCTACACCACACACTTAATTAAACTAAGATTTCCAACTACCACACAAAACACATTAATTGCACCTAATTATGTTGTTTTCCACACAACCTTACCTAACTTTGCAATTGTAAGCAATTACATCATCAAACTAGATATGGACTTGGACTTTAGATTGGGTTGTGGATTACTTATGGTTTTGGGCTTGACATTGATTCTCAACATTGTGAATTGTCTACAATTAACCACAGATTGTACATTTGTTCTTGGTTTGCTGCTTCGTTATACTCGGGTGCATGAATGGAGCGAGACTGTCATGCTTAGTCATCCTTGTCGGCGTCCTCATCGTAGTAACTGAAAGGAAGAGGGACTGACTTGAAAGCGCGGTACTGGCCTACATTGTTCAAGTGCTCGTTCTCTAACCTGGTTAAATTGTACATGTTAATCTCTCAAGCAAAAGTTACCTAAAGGATGCAACAACTGAAGACAAAAAACAGTAAAAAGTCTCAATGTTGAATTTCATGAGAAAAATATACCTGAAGAAGCTCCAAATGCCACGACGAATGACCTCTAGGAAGGCGATGACAGTTGTTATTGTCATTTTATTAACGGTACGCAATTTAAATTCCAACACCAACTGCATCCAAGCAAGTCTCAATACCACATTCAAGACCTGCAATGGATTTCCATAAACATATTGTGAATTAATAGCAGAAATTGCAACATTGAACCCCGTAACTCTCGAATTCAGTCACTTTAACCTTACCATGGCTGCAAAGTATACGATCTTGTGTGGAACTACAAGTCTATCTCTCAAATACTTGTTCTTTGATGTCTTTCGCAGAAGGCCCCAGTCCATTACAATGTCCCAGTACGTATTCATTGTTGTTGCGACAGCTGAGCTAATCAAAGCTAACACCATCCAGGATGTCTTTCCCTTTTTCATTTCATAAACAGTTCGTATAATAACTGCAACGATTGTTGATAAGTACTTTAAACCATTGCAAATGTACTTCACATCCTTCTCATCACAGAATCGACGAATGCACTGCAAGACAAGATACGCTATCTTTAAGTGCATCTTTCCACACAGAGGACGTGATCTTCCAGAGATTATACGAAATTATAAGCTAGAATACAAGTGATACTATCCATCTCCATATTCATTTTCATTGTGAATAAGAGTGGCACACGCCTTTGAAAACACTAGAAAGATTAAAATGTAATGAGACCTGTAGGAAGCGCATCCAAAATGGTACGACAGCAATAATGAAATATAACGTATTGTAGAGACCATGGCTACGGCACTTGCTTTGCCTCCTTGAAGATTCTCCCAAACCGTAGTAGCAAACGTATAACACAAAACTCCTCAGCGCTTGCACCTGAGATCAGACAAAAGTAAAGAGCCTACTCAAAACAGAGTTGGGAGTATTTACTACTTAATACCAATAAAGTTATAAGGGGGCTTTTATACCTGGCTTGTAAGCTGATCAGCCAAGAAAAAGTCTGGAAATGTCTCCTGAAAATTTGAAAAACAATCAAGAAATCACGCTATTTAGCTATATCGTCTACTTAAATATCCAAATTGTTATCCCATGCATTACCGGGTAAAGAGGGGCGCATGTGCAGCGGAACAAGGATCCAATGAAGAAGAAACGACTTGAATGGTATATAATTTTGAAAGGGCAGAAGGTGATGGCAAGGACCAACTGCACAGAGAAAGGTAACACACATCATTTGCACAAACTGAGAGGCACCAGGCTATATAGTTCATGGAAAAGGTCATGCAGCAGAAATCAATTGTGCTAATCAAGTTCAAGGGACGCCACAATAGATACTCTAGCACTTCATAAATCTTACAGCAAGTAAACCCAAGGGAACCAATTCTGTCACTGTCTTGTATTTTTCAGCACTCAAGTCCAAGTGTAAGTTTGCCAGGAAACCACCCAATGAAAGTACTGCAAGACCAGTGGCAAGGAGAAAAACTTCGCGGTAGCCCAGCTCCGTTCCTTTCTTGAAACCAAATATAAAGGCATAGTTGACCCGATAACGCCTCCAGAAATATATATCTGCAGCATACATGAGCATATGTAGAGTGATGTATCCAAATAAACTGCAAGAAAACCCACTTGCATATTAGAGAAAAGACAGGTCAAATGAATAAGATAACTTTTCGTAGTTGAATACCAGAAGGTTAGCGGTCACCTGTAAAGTGGGAAAATGTTTTCCACGTACTCTGCACCCTCCTCCTTATCCAGTAGTTTTCGAGCTTCAATTCTTAAAACAATAGCTACCAGTAGTGCAATTGAGCAGCCAGAAAAGAAACCTGAAAGTTAAAATGAAATAGGAATTAAATTATTTTCTTTAACAGAGAACTAGGAATTAACAATTGGAGACTCCATGACACTGCTACATGTTGCAACAGTCATATTTCTAGAAGAAGGTGGAGCAAAAAAGGTCAATTGGCATTTTTACTACTCTTACCGGAGAAGAATGTTACACTGTGCCTTTCTCTTTTAGCTTTTGGCCTCAGTGACTTCATACCTTCCCTGCGATTTGAGTATGAAAATTTTTGTATGAAGGTAGTCTCCACTCTCTCCAACAGGTTAGTGACCTATAAAGAAATAAAAATGAACCGATAACTTACAAATATACACCTCTTCAACATGTTTACAGGAAGAAATGATTAGAACTTGAAGATCAACAAAGCAATAGAATTCTGAATGCTGAAATGATTAACAATAGAAAAACAAGAAATACATATGACAAACCTCATCAGAACTGCCAACATTAGAGTTGTCTACTATTAGCATGTATGATCTGGCCGCTCTCCTTGATGCAATCTGTGTTTTTAGAATGGATTTTTCGTCACAACACTTTGCTTAAATTCAAATTGAGAATATGGAACTCAAAATTTTGACACATTTTGGTTTGAAATGTATGTCTTACCTTCTCATATTTTTTCATAATCTTCGAAAATGCTGAGAGGTTCATAAAACTGGTTCATCCATTTGCAAAAGCATAAGTACATAATACGGAGTGACAACCCAAAATGCAAGACCATGCATCCAAAGTGGAAGGTATGCTGACACAATTACTATTTATCACCTGTAGTGCTTTAGCAGTTGAAGCTGGTGGTAAAATTGAATGAACGCAGCTCTTAAACGTTCTTCCACTCTCTTCAGCTCCTCTTTATCAAAGCTCAACTCTTCTTCCCTAGTGTCCTTGAAAACACCTTTTATGGTCGATATTGGAGATTCAAGCGTATTGGTAATCCTCACATGCTCAAGAACCTCCATAGGATCTTCTTTTTGGGTATAGGTTTTCAATAACTCTCTTCCGTCACTACTAGAATTCTTGACATGGTTCGGATTGACTTCTGAACCACCAGTGCTTGGTTCTGGTCGATGCTCCTCATTTACTTGCAATCCAGATGCCAAACCAATAGGCTCATTTTCTACACATTTGGCAGGAAACTTGAATTTGTAAGAATTAATTAAAAGATTATTGTAATCGTCAATCAAAGCTTCATAATTAACCACTCTCAATTAAGTGTATCATCTATTAATATGCTTGCACTGCATGCATTATATATACACGCACACACATATGCGCACATATAACACAAATTGATCATATATCTCCACTTACCTAAGTTGTCATCTGCACTTGACTTATTACTTGTCAGGTGTACTGCAGAATTGTTATGTCTCTTTGAACGAGAGCCGTATTGATCAAGCTTCTTGACTTTTAATCTCAGTGCAACCAAAGCCTCCATTTGCTTATCCAGATTATTTGCTTCTTTCTTCACCTCCTCCACTTTATCATTATAAAAGGTATTGACTTTGTTGAGCTCTTGATCCAGTTTTCGGAAGAATGTCGCCTCAATATCTCCTCCTTCTTCGGATTGCCTCAGAAACTTGGTCTTGTAAACCTCTCTGCAACCGTCTCCCTGCAATGTGTTGACATCGATTACTTGGTCCTCGATATCTCCGTTGCTCCGGAGACTGCCAGATTGTAGCTCAGTCCCACTGATGGTTCTGTGCGGGGGAGAACGTCTCCGCTCAAAGTCTTTGGAGGGTGTTACGGAGTGCTTGTTTCGCTTGTATTCTCTGAGCTCCCTTAGTATCCTCTTCAGACCATTGTAATCCATGTAGGCTTCTGCCCACTCAGGCACCATTTGTTTCTTGAAATCTTTCCCGAATTTCATCTTGATGTTGGGTTGCAAGTAATTGCTTATGGTTACATAAAACTGTTGAAAGTTCTGAACTCCAATTCCCTGCAAATAATAGGTGGTTTCTTAGAGAAAAACAATATCCAAAACCAAACCCAACAAAAGTTATGAGAAGCTTGAGCAATCAACTATGCATTAATCTGTAGATTACCCTGTTTTACTAAACCAAATGGAAATTAACGAAGAACAAAAGATGGGGGGTTTTTTTTTTCTCAGAGACCCATCTCCTCGAAACTGCCATTTGAGCTCCTCTTTCTTCGTCTTGAAGTAGTAAGAAACAAAAGAGTCGCTCAATCCAATTAGCCATGCCGCTTCGATATATGTGCATAAAACAAAAGTCACCGACTAAAATACACAAACACGTAGTGGGCATTACATGCAGTCCCGTGACATTACCTTACGTGCTTCAATTTTCCAAAATTCAACCTCACACAGCGAATGGAACTCGTATTTATTAGCTGGGTCTGGATTTTGCTGGGTTGGAGTGCAACGCAAGCAAATGACACTTCAGAATGCGGATAAAAAAATCACCACTTTTTACACGCGTCGCCATTGGAGCCTGAAACTTCTGCTGAGAATCCAGGCCACCGAGTTTGATGGTGGTGACGTTCCCTCCGCCGACTCTTGAGCAGGGTCACTTCCAACCGCCATTTGCTTCGACTGTAATTGAACAGAGGCACTGGTGGCTGATGGGCCTCCCTATGATATTATGGAAGATGGGTTGGACTAGCCTGGCCCAGATTGTTCTGTGTCTTGTTGTTTTTAGCTTCATATCAGCCCAAGGTTGCGGATCGTAACATTCAAATATTCAGTACCCAGAAAGGTACCTAGACCATCTTCAATCGAAAGAGAGAGACATAGCCTCTTCCGGATAGACTTAGGCCGTCTTTCACAAAGTCTGTAATTTTGTTCTTTTGGTGGTTTGAAAGATTCGTTTCCCCTTGCAGGCAAAGCTTGAGAAGAGCTAACTCACGATGAAAGTGTTGCTCAGTTAGAGGGACTTTTCATACGACAAAGAACTGTAGTATGAAATCATCTTATGCTTTGATTAATTTAGTATGGGTTGGTTTGAGATTGTTGTGCTTTAAAAAAAAAAAAAACAGTTTATTAAAAAATCTGAAACATTAAATGTGTTTGGTAAGAAAAAATAAAAAAAAATTATGTCGATGAAATTAAAAAAGTTCAAATGGCAAGTATACCCACACATGTTTTACAAAATTACAATCTTTACCCTTACATTATTGTCTTTGATAATTATTATATCACATCAAATATCATACTATTTTTTTCATTTAACATGTTCAAAGTAATTTATATAAAAATTTGACAAACACTCATACATTGCTTTTTTTTATTAGAGGTTTTTTAGCCAAAATGGTCCCTGAGATTTGCATAACACATCACTTTGGTCCCTGAGATTGAAAATCAATAGAAATGGTCTTTGAGATTGTCCACCATTCATTATTTTGGTCATTCCATTAAAAACTCTGTTAAGTGTCTTGGAGTTCTTGGCCAAAGATTTGGGCAATTTTCAAAGCTTCGTAGCTCAATCATTTCTTAATCAAATTCAACCCATAATATATAAAAATGAAGATAGGAAAGTGTAAAACAAGATTATACCTATTTGGAAGCCCAATGGTTACTAGAGATGGCCGGAAAATATCTTGAAATGTGACTGGTTCGCGGGAAAAATGAAAAACTCGCTGGAAACTAAGTAAATTTTAAACATTCATAACTTCTTCAATACTCAACGAAATCAAGTGACTCAAAAATGAAAATCATAGTTCTCGATAAGACAAAGAGAATGGTACCTTTCTTGATGGCTGAATCACAGTGGTTTGGCCGGAAAGCGGCTTGAAAGTGGATATATTGGTCTCGAGTTAGCCATTTTCGAGCTGTTTTCCGGCCAAACCACGGTGAATTATCTATAAAGAAAGGTACCACTATCTTCATCTCGTTGAGAAGTATGATTTTTATTTTTGAATCACTCAATTTTGTTGAGTATTGAAGAAGTTGTGAACGTTTAAATTTTACCCAGTTTTTGGCGAGTTTTCCATTTTTCCCGTGGACCAGTCACCTTTTAGGCTATTTTTCGGCTATCTCCGTCAACCATTGGGCTTCCAAATAGGTATAATCTTGTTCTATACTTTCCTATCTTCATTTTGATATATTATGGGTCGAATTTGGTTAAGAAACAATTGAGTTATGAAGCTTTGAAAATTGCCCAAACCTTCGGCCACGAGTTCCATGAGACTTAACAGAGTTTTTAATGGAATGACCAAAATAATGGATGGTGGACAATCTCAGGGGCCATTTTTGTTGACTTTCAATTTTAGAGACCAAAGTGATGTGTTATGCAAATCTCAGGGATCATTTTGGCTAAAAAGCCTTTATTAGAAGCACTTTTACAAAAATAAAGTTAACCAAACACTCAAACTTTATTTTACTGCTGTTTATTCTCACAGTATAGCAGAAACAATTTAAAAAAAAAAAAAACATAGCAATGCCAAACTAGTCCTATGTAAAGTTGGAACATTGTGTAAGGGTGGAGACTAGTATAGGCCAAGGCCTACCTTCACTCTTTCAGCCTTGTTAAATATTTATATTAAATTAATTTTTTTAAACTTAGTATTATACTCCTTTTAGATGACACAAAACTCTTAAATACCATTCACCAATAATTCAAAGAGAAATTTTATTTAAACCCATGTAACTTCTCTCTATACCCAACTTAAATTTAAATTGTAAATTGTCTATTTTACCCTATTGCATAATTACTACTAAGTACAAAATGAGATTAATAATAAAACTCAAATTTGTCAATAAACTCATTATACACTACCATCACTTCTTGTTTATCCTACGTTTATTCTGACTAAAACTCTAATAGGTCTTGTAAAGAAAAACAAGTTTTTTTATTGATGGATGGTGATTTTGAAGTTTTGAATCCTCCAACTAAGGTATGACTCAATTTATGAATATTTTGTTCGTTTGAATTCAATTTTTTTTAACGTTTAGAAGATGAGTATTTGGGTTTCAATTTTTTTTCATCAATCCCGAATGGTTTGTTAAACTTTCTGCAATTAGAAAATTCTAAGGAAAAACTTCTTACCAATTTTCTTAGATTATAAACTTCCTTGCTTGTTGATAAATATAAGGGGATGAATTGTTTGATTTGTTGCTTATGCACATTAGTAGAAAGAAAAAAGACAAATGTTTGGATTTGGTAGCAGAAAGAAAAAAAAAGTAGCCATGGAAATGCTAATGGGAAGAGGGGGGTGGGGCAAGGACGGCTCTTTTTTTATTTTTATTTTTTAAAAAAATCCAATTACAAATGTTATTTTAGAAAGGAAATGGGAGTAAAGATAACTTAACATTTTGAATTGGATTTGAGAGAATAATTTAGGTAATAAATTTGGGTTTAAAGAGAGATTAATTCTTTAATAAAAAACAATATGTGTGAAGAGAGTAAGCTAGGTGTAGAAAGAGGTTACATGGATTTAAATAAAATTTCCCTAATTAAAACAAGAGGTCTCTTTTTCTTTGAAACTCACAACAACACTCATCCTAAAACTAAATTTAACATCTTATTTTATAAACAAATCAATAACTCTTAAAATTAAAACCTAAAGTCTAATTTAGTTTTATAAAAAAAATATTCTTTTTTACTGCCAACCGAAGAATAATAAACTTTGAGCTTTTCTTTCTCCCTTTCTTGAAATTTCTTCTTTTTTTTTGTCCTCCAAATTCCCAATACACAACATGTAAAAAAGCATTTAGCGTCCCAAAAATTTAATTAGCTAAAACTTCAAGCATGTATTGTGACAGCCCGTCCCGAGAAATTCTAAAAACGTAACGTGAAAAGATGATTTTGCCCCTAGCGTGATTTTTCGTTGCGTAGTTGTTCTTTTTGGCTTGGTGTGGCTGGTTTTGCACCACACTCCTCCCCACACTCACCCTCACTGCTTCCTCCTTTCCCTGCACCTGTCCCGAGCCCTCTTTCCCATCCCATTCTCCATACACGTACAGACACACCCACAAACCCATTGAACTTCCACAGATCGAAGAATCCAAGTACATATTCGTGCTCGTGAGGCTTGTAGGAGTCCAACCATACCTTTTTCAGGTGAGAATACCCTCGTTTTCACGTCGAACTCACGATGCCCGATTTTGATATTGTTCATGCTCACGTGATTTCTCACGTTTTAGGGAATTTCAAGCTTGTAGGAAGCTTGGTGAGGTCCCTAGGAGGCTCGGGGTGGTTCGTTTGAAGGTTTTGGACGTCGGGATCACTAGTTTCGAAGTTGGCCGGAGTTGGGTTGATTTTTGCAGGTGAGATTTCGTGGATTTTAGCCCTTGAAAATAGTATGATTGTGTTCCTCTAGTTCTAAGCTTCATTTTGGTACCAATTTTGTGAAATTTGGGTGAAAAACGAAGAAGATATCAAAGTTTGAAAATTTCCCAGTTTTCCGGCGCCGGAGAAGACGACGGAATATTCCGTCAAGTCCTAACGCCGTTAACAGAATCTATTAAAACTGACGGAATATTCCTAACGGCGTCAACTGACGCCGTCAGCGTGCCAGGCACGTGCCTGCGCGTGGGGGCTCGTGCAACGGTGAAAAATTATTTTAAAAATATGGGGATGTTCCTGAGGTTGAGTAGATCACGTTGGTGTATTCATATACCCCATTTGAGCATTGTATGAGAAGTTATTTCTAAAGGTTTGGTTATGTGCTTTAAAATTGATGTTTTTGTAGTTGTTTCACATATAGGTGATACCTATCCCTAGGATGAACGTGATCACTCGAGGCAGGGGGGCTACGACCCTTCCACATACCAGTGAGTGGGTTTTTGGTTTTCCGTATATACCTATATACATATATTTTCCCAGAAATCGATTTGAATTGTTATTTGCCATATGCCATGCATTATATTATCGTTGTTTATGCATCGTTAGTAGCAATATTAATCGTATA